TTTTTTGCCTCACAGATTGAGTCTCAAGGCACAGAAGCTGCGCCTCACAGTGAAACGGGCCTCAGCAGGGTTTTTTCATACCATGCTTATGAGTAAGCCAAGCCCACCACAAATGGATTGGGCTGACCTTTCTATCTGCAAAAGAAAGTCCAATTATTGAATTTCCTCTCTATCGTGAGACTTGCTGTTGCAAGAATGTAATATATTATTATTATTATTATTATTATTATTATTATTTAATGGAGATGTTATTCAAATATTAGTAAAATCATACTCAAAATCTGCAGTAGAAGAGAGCTAGTCATTGAAACAATAAGCCCACTTTTTGTTCTATTTTTTAAAGTTTATTTTCTTTAAATTAATTTACATTTTATCGGATCCACAATTTTGTTCAATTTTCTATTAAATATTTTGTCAACTTTTATCAAAATATATTGTTTGACATGTTTTTTGAAAAGTTAAGAAGAGCTTTTGAGACTCAAAAAGTGATTTTGGATTTATTGGGCTAATTTTATGAAAGTGATTCTTCTAGTTAATTTTTTTTTTAGAGAAAGTTGGTCCAATGTGATTTTTCATACGATCAACCAGAAAGCCCATTAACAGGTACAGCATACGATCCGCAGTTTGAATCAAAACCGATAAAAAACCGTTCATTTGCCCAATTTAACCACTAACCTGTGACCGGAACCGATCTATCCGGCTCTGCTAGTTTTTAATTGTTTACTTCAGCAACAAACTTTTCAACTTCCAACCTAATAATCGGTAGGCCCAAAAAATTCTTGACGCACATGTTGGCCCATTTATTTATAGGCATCATTTCTAGTACTTCAGTCACAAGATTCCGTTGTGGGGTCAATATCTTTTGTACATTATTTTGTATATCATGACGCAGGATAGATGACATGGAAAATAGAGAAGTATTATGATAATTGAATTTCTTTTCTTTGCTTCTATTTTTTTCTTGTTTCTCTCTCTTGTCATCTATCTGTACAATATTATGTACAAATAATATTATTTTTCAACTTACCCCTTTGGGGGTGGTTGAGTTG